GTCTGTGCCTTCAGCACAAGAGCGAAAAGAACTCAACTGGCATCTACAGGTAGTGAAGCAGGAAGTGGACACTACCTAAGCGAATGCAGCGTTACCGAACTAGCACTTAATGCTACTAAAATCACTAAATAAACTCTCTGTGCAAACTAAAGGAGACTAATCAGAAGAGAAGAAAATATAGGTTAAGCAAATTACGTTCAAAACAGAATCCTTCCAGCACCCAAGAGGAATCATTTTTGCATTGGGAGAAGGCATTATTACTCTGCCTTCTCAAAATATTTTCACATTTATTCAAATATTTTAAGGAAACATATATACCCGAGATTATTCAGACACACACACACACCCCCCCGAAGTCAAACTGTTGTTGTGAGCATATGACCTAAAAAACTTTGCAAGGCATCTCTTTGCCCACATTGGAAATCTCTCTGAGTGTCCCGCAGGCTTGTGTGTTTGTGTGCGCACACAGAGGGAAGAGGGAAAGACTTCCTTAACAAGTTCCTCGAGGGAGAGGGAAGGAAGGAGACTCGAGTAGCCCAGGGCAGCATGAGACACTTGCTGTACCTGCTGCTCTAGGTCCCTACACCTCTATCTCTCTGCATCATAGAGCAAGGTTGGCAATCTTCTCCCTCCCAGTCTTCCCATGAAATCACGCTAACGTTTCTTTTCTGCTCCTGACACTTCTGCCATCTCCTTAGCTTTAAAGTAGCGCTAGGCAAGAGTTTAAACAAATGGCCCCAAGAACAATGAGTTAAATTGATGGAATTCACACAAGCCCTTAGAGTTGTAAAGATCATGGCCCCATCATTTCAGCAAAAACTGAGCCAGAACAATATTGAACAGGAATGTCAGACTCCATACAGCCATTAACAGCGCAAGAAACGTCCATGAGGCACACTGACCTCTCTCCCTAATTAGCCATTCCATCATGAGGCACACTGACCTCTCTCCCTAAGCCAAGCTGAGTAATTAGCCATTCCACTTGGCTCTTCTCTACATCACCCCCACCCCCCCACAAAAAATGAGTTTTAAGTCTTTTCAGTGTGATCAGATATGTCGGTTATTTCTTGATTTCACAGAAAGTATAGGAAGCAAGGAATTAATGTCATGATTCCAACTAATACAAGAGATAAGACTACATGCAGGGTTTTCAAATTATTGTTTTGGGATGGGAACCAGTCAATTTGCCCACCAAGCTGCACAGCCCTTTTTATTTCTAAGCCTCAAGTATCACCCATATTGCTACAGTGAAAAAGCAGTAAAATGTATACACACAAAAGGAATTGCAGTAAATACATAGAAAAGAGAAGAATGGTGACAAATATGCTAGAGAACATCAAAAGAAAACATGAAGAGAAAGATAGGGAACAACAGTGACTTAATAGGAAAATTTTGAGCAGTTGCTCCAAGTGGTGTCCACAGAGAGCTGCTCTCCCTTTGTGTTGGCTCTCCTTGTTTCCAGCTGCTAAGTTCACATTGAAAGAAGCTAAAAATACATTAAATACTTTCCAAATAGTATTTTCCCATGTAAGCAATTGGTATAAGTTGCCACAGAGATGTTGTTCTCTTGCCAGTGAGAAGCGAAATAGTAGACAATGCTGACAATAGAAGTTGCATTCTACGAAATCTATTGTCTTGGACAAGATGCAGTCCAAAATATGGGAAAGTTTGAAAAGGCATTATCTTAGACACAAGAATTCCCAACTATTCCCCTCTTCCAGCAAAACAATATATGAAAATGATACTTAAAGATGAGGGGTTTATCTCCAATGAGAAAAGGTATATTCTGCACTACGCCGAGGTATAATATGTGCAACATTTCTAGCAATCAAGCTTTGGTATTTCAATGAGGAGGAAAAAAGAGCAGAGTGGCAAACGTCTACAATTTAGGTATACTGTCTCCTGACAAACTAGAATTTCACAATGATGCAGATTTAAAATACAAACGTACCTGCTTAGCATTCAGGACTGTCTTTGACAGTAAATTCAGCTGTATACAAAAGTAAGGAGGGGGGGGGGGGGGGAACATGACACACACAACACGTACTAGAAACCATCCAGTTATTTCTGTTAAACGTGAGGTATAACAGGCTTTTTTTATGACATGCCTTCCTCCAAAAATAGCAATGATTACACTGTTCAACTCCCACACATCCCCCAGCTTAACTTTTTGACACTTGGAACATTATGCATTCTCAGTTCTAAGGAATGATCCAAAGTTTGGGGAGTCAAGAGGACTTTCCATTGCCCAGAACCCAAACTACAGAATATGAAATACAACAATACCTAAGGGAGGCAGGCAACTCCGATTTCTTATAACATTAAATCTTCTTTTAAAGCCAAATGTGACAGATTTTTTAGGAACTCTGAAATCCACAGCTTACCACAGTTTTGGAAAGATGCTGCAAGTCACAGCAGTGATAATCTGCCAATTGCAAGGCACATGTGCGAGCAAGACTTTTTTTGTCTTCCAGACAAACAAGAAGATTATACAGCCTATTCTCTTCCTGGGGACAAGGCGGGAGAAGCGTTAAGATTGCAGCTGCTGCAGAAGTGGAAGCTGCAACTCCCTTGGAGCTTGTACTGACTGTGTAGCCTAGCATGCCATTGAGGGATGCTATGGTACTACAGATACTGTTCCATTTAGGGTTTTTTCCCTGAATGAGACAAACCTGAAGCTTTAGCCTGCTGTAGTTAACAGAAAGTTAACGCAACGCATCTTGCAATATTCCACCCAAGTTCCAGTTCAGCTCAATATCCTGCCTATCAGAAGTTCCTGAATAACTGCTCAGAGTGTATTCTTGAATAAGACAGCTTTCCTTCACGTCTTCTGTGATGTTTAGTTTTGAGATTTATCACATTCCTGTTGCCCAATTGTGATTTATTTTATATATAAAAGAGGACACACAGTGAAGGTAAGCTGGAATCACAACCATTTAAAGTAGCCTACATCTGTAAAGAACTTATCTTTATGAAAGAAGTTTGTTTAGAGAAAATCTAACACCTGTTATAACAATGATGTAAATTTCCCTAAAAACAAAAAAGGACATATGAATACTTTAAGGTAAGATACACTGTACTATAGCTTGGCTTTCTTCATGTCTGGCTGATGTATTTATTTTGTGATGTTTAACTATAATAGAAAATAGATGAAGTTCAAATGAAAACACTGTTTAGACTGTGTCAACAGAGCATAAAACTAAATGAAGTGATTCCGTATTGACTATAAAAACATATTTGCTAATAGTAAAGCTACTAATGGTTATCTATCAAGATCACAACATGAAACAATTCTGCATCTTAAGAACTGTGTTAAAGCAGCAGACACATGAAGTTGGATATAATTTTTTGATTTTGGAAAACATCATCGTGCAGTGCACATTACTGCTATTTTACCATTAGTGTAAATAATTTTTTTAAGAACGCAGGAATTCTCCAGCTCACTTGTTATTTTTTTAATTGTAAGTCACCGATGGGCTTTGCACTGAGACAGCCAATGTTCACTTTACACTTGCTAGCAAAAGAAAATCAAATAACAGTATCTTGTATACTGAAACAACTGCTTTGTTACAAAGGGAAAGATTTAGAAAACTAGAACAAATGACTCTGCTGTAAAAACTATAAGCCTTTTAGACTCAGTTCAAAGACTTATGCATTCTTCTACAACAGACTGAAGTTTTATATTCATCTCAGCAAATCAATCCACTAATAGGCATCAGTCATCAACACCTAAGTAAAGATCTGCCATTTGAAACAGCTTTGATGTGATTGAAGACTCACACACAGTCGTAAGTATGACAGAACAGCTTAGCTATTAAAATGTTTTATCTAGCAAAGAACCGTTCATCCTAATTGACTGAAATACTCTTTGAACGCTATTATTGCAAGGCTACTTCACCACGCAGCGCTTTAGTACAGAGCCACTTGACTTATATCTTGAGATCCAGCACAACCACATCAAATCTTGTTAGAATATTTTCTCACACATACTTTTGTCAAGAGACCAAAACAATAAAGCTGACTGTCATTTTTACTACCAGTTGCTTAGTTAATTCGATACTGAAACGTACTGGGATTCATTATAAAAGCCGCATGCAATCAGCCATTTCTATCAATCTTTCTTTTTACTGCACTAATAGAATGAATCCTACTAACCACATCAGTTGAAATGGGTTGGCAGGACTGGATGGAAGCTGTTCCTCTGCACCGAGCCCAACCTCTGAGCGCGAGAGGTGGGGTGGCAGGGGCTCCTTTAAGCAGCGCGGCGCTGCGCGGCCCTGGCCCAGCTCCAACACTGACCATATGTCAAGCTGACAGATAAGAAGCCGGAGACAGCCATCTGAAAACAACTGTACACCGCCCCAGCCACCAGGCAGCCAGGGTTTATAGGCCTACCTCATTACTCGTTTCAAAGCCAATTTTAAACACACCGAAAGTAAACATACCTGACCAAAGGGGGAAAAAAAACCACAAACCCAAAACATAAGCACAAAGTCATTATTAGAAAGGCTACGCAATGATATACTCTATTTCAGGAAGTTTCCACCGAATAATGTAATTGATCACCAGAAACACAGTCAGAAGATTAACAGTTTGTGCCTATAACATTTTTCCTTCTCCATTATATTCACAGTGTGTTAACAATTTGTAAGAAAAAAGAATCAAACATACCGGCAACTGCCACCAAAACTACATTTTACAGAATCAAACAAAATGCTATTGATTTAATACCTCAAATGAAGGGCAATCTGATTTTACCCTGTATCTGTTAATGCATCGTAGAGTTCATCAGTTTTTACCATTATTTTTGTTACCAGGAAGTATGTCATATCAATTCCTTGTATGTAGGCAAACACTTGTTCTATCGGCTTTTATTCCAAAATTACTCAGTAATCAGCACAAAAGAATAGCTAAAATTTACTCCACTCCCCTATGCAACCTCCATAGTTCCATATATTCCCTTTCCATATTCCAAATTAATAAAATCCAGTTGAACTTACCTACAGTTTGGCGGAGGGTCTAATGTAATTTCTGCAAGTTCTTTCTGAATTCTTAAAAGAAAAAAAAAAATATTATCAGGACTTTTTTGCAATACGTTTCTTTCAACTTTATGAACATTTCCACAGCAATCAAGAATAATAAAGTATAATTCTTATAATTTCTCATGGGAAGCTGATGCTATAAGGTTCCACGAAACTGCTCAAGAAAACATTGAACTAAAAATCAAGTATTTTCTGAAAAACGAGCCTCCAATCTGGGACAAGTATGCCATGAGCAGCCGCCTAGAAAATCCCACTTTTCCAATAGGTCGGGGTTCTCAGCGCCCTCGCTCACACAACAATTAAACGTCTCGTATACCCTCCTTCTCTATTTCCCCCCTGCCTGTATGCCTCTGTGCTGGTTCTGGCTGGGGTAGTTAATTTTCTTCATAGTAGCTAATATGGGGCCATGTTTTGGATTTCTGCTGGAAACTGTGTTGATAATACAGGGATGTTTTAGTTATTGCTGAGTGGTGCTTACACAGAGTCAAGGACTTTTCGGCTTCCTCACACTGCTCCACCAGCGAGTAGGCTCAAAAAGTTGGGAGAAGATGCAGCCAGGACAGCTGACCCCAACTTACCAAAGGGATATTCCATACCATACGATGTCATGCTTAGTATATAAAGCTGAGGCAAGAAGGAAGGTGGAACGTTCGGAGTTACAGTGTTCACCTTCCCAAGTTATCCATGATGTGTGATGAAGCCCTGCTTTCCTGGAGACGGCTGAACCCCTGCCTGCCGATGGGAAGTAGTGAATGAATTCCTTGTTTTGCTTTGCTTGCATGTGGAGCTTTTGCCTTGCCTATTGAATTGTCTTTAACTCAGCCCATGAGTTTTCCATCACTTTTACTCTTCTGATTCTCTACCCCATTGCAACTGGGGGGAGTGAGCGAGCAGCTGCGTGATGTTTAGCTGCTGGCTGGGGTTAAATACAACAGCCTCATAGCGCTTGCTCACCAGAATATTTAACTTCTTACTATATCCTGTACTCACAGGGCAAAAACACCCAACTTCAGAGGATAGTTGTCTCTCGCCCTCCTGAAAGGCGCCTATCCTGGTCTTCTCCATAACCTCCTCCTAAGTACTGGGGGGCTGCTATCAGGTCCCCCCGAAGCCTATCCTCAAAGGGAAGCGCTCCAGCTCCCTGGCCAGGCTGGGGACGTGCCGCTGGACCTGCTCCAACGCATGTCTTCTTTGTACTGGGGGGCCCAAAACCAGGTACGTGTTATTCCAGATGCAGTCTAATGAGAGCTGAGTAAAGGGATATAAATCAGTTTACCTACTGGCTACGCTCCTGTTAATACAGCCCAGGAGGCAGTTAGCCTTCATTGCTGCCTCACGTTGAGCTTGCTGTCTGTCTGCCAGGGTCCCCATGTCCTTCTCAGCAGAGCTGCTCCCCGGCCTGTATTGTTACGAGGGGTTAGTCCTTCCCACATGCCTGACGTTACGTTTCTCCTTGTTGAATTTCGCAAGTTCCCTGTCAACCCTCTCTCACAGCCTGCTCAGGTCTCTCAGAGCAGCGGCTCTGCCCCTGTGCGTACCAACTGCTCCTCCCCAACTTGTGTCATCTGCAAACTTTAGAGTGCGTTCTGCCATATCCTTCGGGTCACTGATAAAGACATGAAGCTGGGCAGGTCCAGTACAGACCCCGGCAGTGCTGCACTTGTTACAGGCATCCTGCTGGAGGTCCTCCTCCAGGCAGAGCAATTTCGTTGTTAAGGATTTCTGGATATTCCCCAGGCCAAGTACTTGAATTCCTGATCTATGCCACATCTGGCAATATGGGCTCTTTTCCATTATACCAGTGTCTGCAGGAGAATCAGTATATCCCCCTGTGAAGAAATTTAAACATGTGGAGTAGGAGTTTACAGAGCTCCCAAAGGAACTTGTAGGAGTTTACAGTTCCCAAAGATGTGCCAGAGTATGAAGCCATAAGCAGGGCTGCAATGGTCACCTTTCCTATAAACTATGCTCGAGGCTTTTTTATAGGCTACTTCAGTGCAAAAACATGAACGTTTAGAAGGAGGGAGGAAAAGAAAAGCAATTAAATGTACCCTCAGTATTTTCTTCTTCCCTTCTCCTTCACAGGAATTCATGTACAGGAGCAGAGAGCTACTCCTGTTATTCCCCACACTAAGAAAGGAAACCTG